CGTTTCACTTCGGTTTACTAGATCTTACACATTCGGTAGGACTCCTTGGGCGAGTGATCAGCTCGTCGCAAGGCCTCTACCTGTACACAAGCAGAGAAAAACGCACACAAACATCCATGCCCTGAGTGGGATTCGAACCCACGATCCCGGCTTCCGAGCGAGCGAAGACAGTGCACGCCTTAGACCGCTCGGGTACCGTGACCGGCAAGAGTATACTATTAATATTATCTAAATTTGACTTGGTTCATCCTGGCCCGTGACACTAGTAATTGTATAAGGTTATTAACGCCGTCAAGTTCGATTGTTCAATTACACTGGACGGCGTTAATAATCTTTTATATTGTGTATATTTACTTATTCTAAAAATAAATTTCGGAATTTTGTTTTATGAAGCAACAGACGCCTTGAAAATATAATTTTTCTTCTAGCCTTAAGAGTTTGTAACTGACTGTGGGTATTCTTTTCCGCTGTTCCCAGACAAAATGTCAATCACTGTTGTCCTTTGGTCCTCATAGAGTTTACAGTCCCAGAAGATACGTGCCTCCGTTTGCATCTGGACTGTGCTGCTACCTAGTGACACATATAGGAAACTACGTCCATTACAGATGGTTCACTTCCATTTGCGACCTATTTACTGACTCTCCCTCGCACTTTCAGCCGCAAGCTAAGAGTCTCTGAACGCTTCCTAAGTGGCTGATTCACCTGCGATGTACGTCACAGTACTGACCTAGCAATGGACGGAAAGATGACTGCTCGGGAATTGGTACGGAAGCCGCTGCTGTAGGCCCACTCAACCAGAAGCACGCACTTCCACAACACAACAAACTGCAACGTAAGGTTCGGGTTTTAAATTATAGTCCCGTGAAATTGCAAGCAACAAGCACCTCACGAAGCGGACTGGCGTAACTGCAGGGCTCTGAACTTGTGTTCGACTCTCGGTCGGGTCACCGGATATCCTGCCTGAGTTAGGTCACGGCTGTGGCAGTGTCATAGCTCAGGCAGTTAGTCGCAAGCTTCCCAGCGCGGCGGCCCGGGTTCTAGCCTAGGTCATTAAGAATTGAGTAAAGCTATCCCTGTAACAGGCCATCGAGGCCCATAGGGTT